GGTAGTGTAGAGCATGGAAGAGAAAACGCACTTGGATAATTTGAACACATGAAAAAAAAGACAAAAATATACAGTGGATATGTTTTTCATATGTGTTAGCAGAACGAAAGAGTACAACGATAGAATGCATACATCTCTACATCGATGTCATATCACCTTACAATTCATCACAGTACTAAGCAGAAATAAACAAAACATCGAATAGACAGGCCACCAAGAAAGAGGGTATTGAAGAATAGAGTTCCGACAAATCAAAATAAATTCTCTTTTCTTCCTGGCAGGCATGATACTTATGCCAACTTTCATTTATTTCACTTTTATGAAAAGAAACACGATTGACGACTTGTGTCACTATTCATAGTTGCAAAAGAGAATAGTCAAGACACAAGATGATATGGTTTTGAAACGTTTACAATCGAAAACAGTCATACCAGTAGATCCAATACTGTCAAAAACATGTACTTTCATGCTTAATTTATGTTCATTTAGCATGCAAAAAAACCATGTTATTCGATATCATATACAACTTTTAACTGTTTAAGGAAAAGACCAAATGGTATGAAAATTTTATGTTGGATAGAGCAAGAGTCGGGATATATTCTGGTGTAATTTGAGCCTATACTACTATGGGAACTATGGGAATGATTTATCAAAAAAGATATTCGTTTGTAAAGATATACAGAAACCTCTTCTTATCTGAACGGCTCGCTCATAACCAGATGCTCCCCGCATCGCTCTATCAAATGGCTAAAGCCCAAGTTTGATAGTTATCAATAGTACAGAGTTATTCAAAAAATGATAGCTGGCATTTTTAAAAAATCCGACGTTAGTACTCGGAACTTTTTTTATTGTTGTAGGACTCCATGGAAAGCTTGAATAGTGTACTATATATTATGTTTGCTTATTACATGGTTTCTATTGGATTAGCATAATTTCAATATAAGTAGAAAGTTTAATGTGAAAAGAAACAAAAGTAGAGGGATGTGAATTAAATTATCTTGAATTACATAAATGTATGTGAAAGTATGTTAAAGTACGTAAAGTATGAAGTATCATGTTTCCTCCTCGCATTTAAGTCTAAGTTTCTATGAAATCTAATGAAAATTGCTAACAAAACTTATACCAATTAAATACTTATCATAAAAAGCTTCTTTGGTCTCAATGAAGCTCGTGTAGATAGGCACTTCCCTCGACGCTCTATCGAATGGTCAAAACTCGAACTCGATAGCTATCACCAATGAAGAGTTGTTCAAAAACTGACGGCTGGCATTTAAAAATATCCGACATTAATTTTTCTTACTTTTTCATATGACACTTGCTTGCTATATTAATAAGAAGTTTATTTACAATAGGTCGAAACTAGAAAGAGCTAAGTATTTTTTTTCATTATTGTATTCCATATCTATATTAGTTTTTTATTTCTTTTTCTCTCGAAATTCTGTTTCCACCTCATCACTTTCGCTACTCATTGAAGCAATTCAAAGTATTTATGAAATAAAGCAACTCATACAAGTAAGCAGCTAAGTTGCCTTGAAAAATATCTTCCATGTCTGTGTATGTTTAACATCAAAAGATTACCCCCTTGTAAATGTTCTAGTATAACAACACAAGAACTCTTGTTCTATCAGATTCATTGTTCTTCTGTGACATTGTGGTACAAGGTTTGTATTCAATCGATTTTAGTTGTCCGAAACAATACCCAAGTTTTCTAAGACAGATTGATTTAAATATTATCTTGAAAAGAATGATGTCTCTCACCGACATCTGTTTCTCTCGGATACGTAGATTTTTATATTGTCGATGAAAAAATTTTTATCTTCACTGAAACAAATAATCAATATGAGGTTCACAGTTTAGATAAGTGGTGCAGCCATATTAGGTGGTTACTTCTTAGGGCATATGCTCTTCTGCTCTGATTTTTATCTTAACATGCTATGTTCTTTGATTTCAATTCGCTCACACTCTAACTGAAAGAAACGGACGTTTTTCTTTTCCATGTAGGTTTATTGAATGAAGAGAAATATAGAACAAAATTATTAGTTAGATATCTATTACAACAAAATTTGATTCTGATCGTATATGAATGCATGAGATTCATTGACAGTCTCTCGACATATTTTACTCGTCGTTAATGAAAACATAAAGGTACATTGATATAATAGTATATGAGACTGGATGAGATAATTAGAAACTATGCTTTGAGGACTTTGAATATACTGCTAATTTTGATCATGTATATAACATATATTTATATTATTTCTCACCATGCAGCTATGAATATTTTCTTCATGAATGATATAAAAATCAGCCCATTCCTGAAACAAAAACCAGCAAAAACATCGATTGTTTTCTTTTGTCATTTTTCATTATGGAATAGACCTGTGCGTAAATCAAACATATTGCATAATCGACTTTGATCGAATCAAATTTAGGCTCTACAAAGATCATTCATGTTCATCTGCTCAATGGAAGCTATTGGCTTTTGGATACTGGCATTCATGTTCGTGCAATGCAATGCTGGTACGAACTTTACTTTATTTCTTGGTTATTAATCATTCCATCAGTATTTCGATGCATTGATGAGAAATGTAGAATAATTGACGTCTAAGTGAAACGAAACGCGAGAAATAGTGGGATATTCCTGTTCAGAAAGTGAAACGATCAACTGTCGAGAATATCTTTGAGACAATCGGGAGTAGTGATCTTCATGATATCACTATGCAACTTTGTTTGAGTCTTGCTTACATTCAAAAATAAAAGTTAGATAAAAGAATGTTGATGAGAACGAGAGAATTTGCCATGAAAAAAAGTTAGTATGGATCTTCTTTCTTTGCAATGAATTCTGTATCATTCTTTTCATCTGATTAAAACAAAAGAATTGGTCATTATTGAAATGATATAAGGATATTAATCAATGGTGTTTAACTTAAAAAAGTAATACAACATGAGAATTTCTCGGTTTTATGTACAGTCAATCTAAGAATGAGGGTTAAGATCTGCCACCTAGTTTAAAATTTGAAGTACCATTTTTGGAAGAGAGCATTTCGTATCCACTATAAGTGAGGATAATGTCGAGATAGATGAAATAGAAAGCTCGAGTTTTTTTTTTCTATTGGTTCTAGTATAGAGATACTTTTCTATGAAAAACAGAGTTATTATCTAACTACGTACTCTATATCCTTATTTTTAACAATTGATAGAACAATGAAGCAAAGAATTTAGCTGAATACAAAAAAAGTGCAATATCAAGGTATCATATATTGCACGATAACATATGGCTAGCGTCGACTAATAAACTTTTCATTTCTTTCATTTCTCTAGAGGTAATAACTTAAACAACTAAAATGATATAGAGAAGAGGAGGAAAATCTTCTTGCTAGCATATTTGTTCTCCCCGAAATAGAATGCACCATTAAAATTTCTTTGAAAGATATAATAATAAGAATTATTTAAAACATTTTGCAATACAATAAAGGATGGAATATGAGAGGATACACATGGAAATGTGTCGCTCTTATTTATCCACAGTGAAAGGTTACTTTAGTTTAACTTAATTCATAATAAGAAATACAAATAAATAAAATGTTTATCGTTACCAAAGAAAAGTTAAGTAATTATGTATGCATGAAAATTAAATACAAATAGAATAATAAAGATAAAATCAAGGATAAAGAAAGATTTTTTTATGTCACAGGTAAATATGGAAGTATCTAGTTTTCCTCGGGCAAAAAAAAATGCCTTTTTTCCATTTCATTTTTGCATCATTTAATATGTTGTTTAAAAAAAAAAATACCACAAGATGCAGCGTGAGAACCTCTACAATTTACATAGGACAATTTATTGAAATAAGTAAAAATGAATTTCTCGTTGGTGCAGAAAAATGATTCTTCCGCAGTGTCGAAAATTGGTCGGACACAATTTTGCTATTTTCTAAAACGGAAAGTGCAGAATTGAAATAAGCCTTACTTTGTAAATTGTAAAGCTTCTCACACTGCATCTTTTGGTATATTTTGTTTTTCTAAAACAACGTGTTAAATGATGCAAAAATGAAATGAAAAAAGGCACTTTTTTTGTTCGAGGGAGAATATAACAACAGTATATGTTAATCAATATTCTTTGTTATTATGAACATCAATTCGACATATAATTTTACTAAAAAATAAAACTGATACATAAAACAATAGCTGCAAAAACAGATTTCTATATGTTTCGTTTCCTAGGTTTGATATCATAATTTTTTTTGAACTACTTGGCAACAATGAAAGATAATGTTTCCGTAAAAAAAAAATTTCTTTATGTTTATGAAATAAAGATAAATAAGAAAAAGCTCCATATCTTAATGTTATAAATATAAAGATTTTATTCATATTTATTTCATGTAGTAAAGATAATGTAACTATATCGATGCTTGTATCTTGATAGGCATTGAATAGTATAATATAAAATGCTGATGGACTCTAATAAAAGCAAATCGATATTGAAACTTTTATAGGTTTTCAGTACAATTAAATCTCTCAAGTTCTGCATGTTGGGCACAGAATGCTAACACGGTCGCAGAATTGTTAAATAGTACCTGTGGTTCATCGTTATCTACTCTCTGTCTTAACACAGGTATAAGCATTTCAAGTGATAATACTCTTTATATTGCTGACATGGCTAATAACCGAGTTGTTTTAATCGGATCTAATTCAACAATGGCTTTGGATGTTATTGTAACAGTACCCAACTTGGGTATCCAATTGTATACTCCAGTAGATGTTTTTGTCAATGAGAAATACATATACGTCCTAGACCAGCTAAAATGTCAAGTGATAAGATTCTTCAAAAATAGAACAAATCCAGTGGATTTTGCCGGAGTCAGATTTCAATCTAAAGCCAGTCTTAATACGTCAATCATCGGTATTGCTTACAATATTTTCGTCGACAGTAGTGACAACTTGTATGTGACTGAAGATACCAATAACATAGTGGTTCTTTTTCCATCGAACTCGTCAAGTGGTATGTCCGGTATAATAGTGGCTGGAAACAATACCAATGAAAGTGGTGCTTCACAGTTGATTAGACCACGTGGAATCTTTGTCGATGATGCTGAAACACTGTACGTTGCGGATTGTAAAAATCATCGAATTCAAAGATGGAGTAATGGAGCTTCCTCCGGTGTGACAGTTGCAGGTACTGAAGTCATCGGTAATAGCTTAACTCAGTTAGAGTCTCCGACTGCAGTCATTGTTGATTCAAATGGATATATCTATATAGCAGATTAAGGGAAATTTTCGAATTCTTCGATGGCCATCGAGTTCGAGTTCTGGTCAGTGCATTGCAGGTTGTTATGGATTAGGCGGAAGTGGAGTTAATGCGTTGATTTTTCGAGGTGCACTAGCATTTGATACCAAAGGATCGCTCTTTGTCAGGGATTCTATTCATAATCAAGTACTGGAATTTGAAATACTCAACTGCACAAGTGAGTAGCAAACGTTTCAATAAGTCTGATTTTATTGTTGTTTATACAATTTATTTCCATTCAAGACTCGGCCACTAGGTCAACTTCAACAAAACCAACAAAAGCAGCAAAGGCAACAATGACAATAACAACAACAGTACAGAAAACAACATCATCTCCAGGGGGCTCGGAATCACCCAGGCTATGGTCAACAATAGTTTTGACACTCATGGTAGTGTTAGTATGTATTTTTTGTCAGAGATAATACAATAACAGTTTTAATATCTGATTCGATAATTTTCTAGCTTTCATTTTTACGCCATGGCAATCTGAGCGATTATCTTTTTCGATCCACGACTATAATGCAATGAATCAGATAGTGAAGAAATGGTTCATGTCGTGGATTTTGACAATTATTCTCTTTCTCTATTGTTTCTCAACCTAATTTATGTTTCCTTGTGTGTTTTACTATGTGAAACTTGTAACATACTTCTCATATATCGTGGAATTA